GCACACACACACACACACACACACACACACACACACACACACACACACACACACACACACACACACACACACACACACACATCTTTCAATATTAAATTATGTTACACCATCTCCATTTTGTCCCTTCAATTCCAATTCCTACTTCCCAACGATGTTGAGATGCCACCCTTTTGTAAGAACACTCATCATCATCACCCGGTGCCTTGCCGACTGACGTGGGCGATCATGGACCTCCACTTCACTCTGTCTTGCGTTGCAGCAAGGGTGTCTGTTGTTCTTGCTGCTCCTAGTAAGAACACTAGATCTGTCGAAATGTTTACATTGGTCTGGTACTAGCCTTCTAGCCAGACAACACACAGTTGGCTTGCTCAATTCTCAGTTTGGCCACTTAGTTTTTGTCAACTCTCTAGCGAGGATAAACCTCTTATTATAAAATAACATTATATAAATTTCTATTTAATAACATCACCAATTAGAAATAGCCCCCGTGTGATTTTTGGCTAACCTTCGTCAGTTGCTAGGGTCAGTCTGTGACACACAGATAGCTGCAAAGTCTAGTGTCTCTCTCTGTGAGGGGAGTGGGAAAGGAGAATGGGGCTCTAGAGATTTTTTTAAAAAAGACTACAGAAGCCAGCAAAAAAAAAAACCCAACTAAACAATACACAAAACAAAACAAAGAAACAAAAAGTATAAAAAAGGATTACCGATCTAATCACTTTTATTCCTAATAATATAATTATCCCATTGTTCCACCATTGTGGTGAAATTCTTTCTTGTAACCTACTTACCAACCCCGTTACAGCCAATGCTACAACTAAGACAATTGGGGCCTACTCCTAATATGGCTCTCGAAAAAAGGACACAGGAAAAAACAAAAGAAAGAGAAAAAAGCAAAGTCTGTATTGACACTGGACAGGTTTCTGTCTCATGACTTTTAAGTTTACATCTCTAATATTAGCAACTTATCGAAAGGAGATTTATGTATTTAAAAAAAAAGTAAAACATAATATTGTATTTTGGTTTGGGGAAATGGGTGTGTGGGTGAAAGGGGAGGGGTGGGGTGGTAGTAGGGGAAGGGTTGGGGTGGTTGGGAGGGGAGGGTTGAGGTGGTTGGGGGGGGGGATTAGTGGGGGTTTTGGGGGTCGATGAATTCCCCTTTGACAGGCTTCCGCCTCCGTGGTGGCGATGGTGGTAGGTTTGACTGTGAGCTTGATCTGATTCCACACACTGACACACTGGCTTGGTGGTGATTTCTACTGATCAGTTAGCTATTCCCATTACTTTTTACAGCTGTTTACTTTTTTTTTCTTTTTACTTTTTTTCCTTTTTTTTGAAAGG